GAACGAGATGTCTCTCTGTCTTTTTTTTTTTCGCAAAGTAGAGGAGACAAATTGCTATAGGCGAAATTTCGAGGGAGTCGTTATCAGCATTGGCGGAGAATTAAATAGTTTCCTTTCAGGCAGCCAGCTTAAATGGAAAAGCTTAATGAGGAATTAAATGATAAATTTAAATTTTGAAATTCAAAATTCAAACTTATATAAGCTGAGGCAATTAGCCCGTGTTCAGCCCGAATCGAACCCAAGTCGGACCCGGGTTAAGCCCGGGCCCGCGCACCGCTAAAAAAAACGCATCGATATCTGTGCTAGTCGCTCGCGCGAGAAACCATAACAATGCGGGTGTCCTTTCTAGCTAAAGTCGAAGTTCCGGATGCGTCGGCTTTCCCCGACGGGCGAGTCGATTCAAGTCAAAGTCGTGTATGGTGCAGCGAGTGCGTTGCTGAGTCACCGAGGGTTCACCTAAGGTTGTACTATCCTGTAGGAACTCATTTTCGGGCCCTCTACATGTTGGTCCTTAGCCCTTGCAACTAAAGGTTGAGTGTTTGGAGCCACTCATGCGAGTTCTTCACAAAAATGAGTCAAGAAGTGGCCTGAAGTTCTACGGGAGGTGGGCTCCATTGCTAGTCCGCTAGGATGGTCAATAAGAACTCCTAAAGCTAGATCCTAGGTTCTAAGAGTAGAAGACTAAGACCTCACTAAAAATGAAGTCAACAGAACCTCTCCCCTATGATCATCTGGAATCGATAACACATCTTCCTCATTGGCTACTAGATGAGAATTCTCTCTTAAGTCTTCATCTTTTCTCGAATCAACTGAGTCACTGCCCAATTTTTCAACAACATGTTGCTCAGTGAAACAAATCACCCCCATGGTTATGTAGTTTGATTCAAAATGCTCAAATTTGTGGTACTTGCAACACTTCATAGCTAGAACAGGTTCAGGGATGTGGATTGGTTTTATCTGTTCTCCGCCATAAATCATTTCTTCCTATGACGGAATCGTCTTAGGTGTGCTCTTGGGTGTATTTGGTCTACAAGACCTTGAAGTTGAAATATGCCTCTAAGATGAGGGGGTCACTTGATACTGTGTTGTCTGTAGTAAGCTAATAAGAACTAGCATTGTGTCTCCCGCTTCATCTTCAGGCTCTCTTGTTCTCCCCTTTGACTCTCCGGATCCGGGTAGAGGGTTACCTCCCCTTGAATTTAATCATCATTGTCTGCAAGCCTTCACTGAAGTTGGCAGGTCTCTCGTTGTATCTCCTCCCGGGTAGACTCAGGCATGTATCTCATTAGCGGCATGACTAGGATTTAGGGTTAGAAGGTGAAAGAGGGTAAACTAATTGGTTTAAGGTGGTTTATTTTGAAAATAAGCAGAGGGAAATTAGGATTAGGGAAATGTGGTAGTGGAAAGGATATTTGACGGTAGAAAAGAAAATTTTTGGGTTATCTAGATGCTAGGAAACCCTAGGATAGAAAGAAGGTTAGGCTAGCTCTGATACCAAATGATACTGAAATTAACCCAAACCACAACAAAAAAAAAGTAAATATTATTACCGGAAGCAAATAGACGGTTACAATTAACATATTTAAAAAGGAAAATACAACACATGCGACACACAACTCGCATTAGTGGGGATCCCGGGTGACGGTTAGGGGGCTCTGAGAGGTGGCGGCAAGGTAGGGAAGGGGTTTCCAAACCGTGGATGAGAGGTGACAGCAGTTATGGGCAGTTGGAACATCAGGAAAGAATAGGGCGGCGGTTCAAACAACAACAAGTTGTTGTTAGGGGTTGTTGGACGATAGAAAAACAACAAAGAGAAGGTGGTTAATGCTGCAACACGAAGGCGGAGGGCTAGGACAGTGAGGGCGGTGAGGACGAGGGAGGAGAGGGCAATGGGGGCAGCTGGAACTATAAAAAACAGCAATGGGATGCTATTGCGGGTGGTTGCATCGAGGTATAGCGACAGGGAGCGATGTGGGAAGATGCGAACAGGGATAGGAGAAAGAGAATTATCATCTTGGAAGAGAGATACAGACAGAACACCACCCAATTGCTCGGATATAGCCCTCAAAGGGGGGAAACGAGCATTGGCGGCTGTGATGACAGATATATGAAATAAAACTCATCAAAAGCTCACCCTAAAACATCAGGAATACAAATATATAATAGTAGGATAACAAGAAATGGCCCAGTAGGGCCTACTGACTCCGCAACGGTGAAAAAAAATCTAAACTAGTTTGACCCCGGCGTGAAAATGGCAACCCGCATTGGCCTCGAGAATATAGTGGATCGCGGTACTGTAGCAAGGAGCGAAAATGTGGCCTCTGGGTAGCTCCCATGCCAATCTTGGACTCCTGGAGATATCCTCTTCAATACAATGATGAGATATAAGAATCATCGCTGTCAGCAATTTTCAAAGATAGATCAAACCATTAAAACTTCAATGAACATGATCTTGATCTTTCCATGATCTAAAGCACAGATCATGATTATATGCAATATAATCGACCAATATTAGATTTGATCTCCATATCATGGTTCTCTTATTTAGAAGGTTACCACTCTTATAAAAGTAAAGCACCATATAAGGGAAAGCTACATGCCTAACTTCCCAGGTCTTACTTGCCAATGCAAACAGCCTCATTTGGACCTTGTATGGCTATGGTAGTCCTCTCCTCAGAAAGTTAATTTAAAAAGGTACTCACTTCTTCAAGTGTACAAAATCAAGTAGATAAGATTTCCTCTAACTCAACATCAAGAAAGGAGGGTTCAAAGGCTTTAAATTCTCCACATTTCACCAAATAATCTTTATATATAGAAACGATTTTAGCTAGCAAACATATTCTCCAATTTTCCTGAGAACTTTACACAGCCCAAACTTGATTGGCTTTAACTACGTTCCCTATCTTTTAA